CATGAGGTGTCTGCTCTGGAGATTCAGGATCAGACAGGAGAGAAGACAGAAGGTGAATGTGATTAAATCATGCCATGTCTTTGTAAAAAAAAAGAAAAAGAAAATCTAAGATGAGTCTGACGCTGTCTTGGGTAGACTCTGGAGATTTTAAAATTTAATGATCCATCCTCTCGAGCTAGAAAATAATTCCTTTCCAGGGCCTGATCCCGCAGTGTCTGGGAAGAAGAGGCCAGGGAGGCTCAGTACATCCTGGGCATCTCCTGCCAGGTATCTTGCAGGAACCTGAGACTTGGCCCCCTGAGCATCTTCCCTGGGCTCGGTTCTTTCTCCCATGTTTCCTAATGCTCTGTTCAGTGCTGCAGCCACCATGGGAGCCAGGCCGGCAGGGGGACATCAGTCTGGACTCAGACTCATGCTTAAGGGTACAGAGCATACCCAACTGCACCTTCTTTCTTCCTGGCTGTGTGGCCCCCAGCAAGTCCACTTAACTTCTCAGAGCCTCCGTTTCTCCATCTCTAAAGCAGTGCTTTTTGCTTATTCCAGAAGATGCTTGTGTGGTTATATAACCTGTGACATGTAAATTACTTGGAACAATATTGTCAAGTACGGTACCTAGACGTTAACTATTTAGGCAGTAACTCTCTCTCCATGTTAGTTGCCACGCATGCACCAGCTCCTTAGCATCTCCCATCCGGGTACCTGCAGCAGCCTTAGCCTGGGCTCCTGCCACCCGCTAGACATGTCCCTCCCCTGCACACAGTGAGGCCTGTTGAACAGCAAGGACAGATGCCCATGCTGCCTGTGCCCCAGGGTTTCTGGGATGGTTTAGTGGCGAGAGGGCAGCAAGCGTGGGAAGTGGATAGCACACCCCCTTTTACCCTTTGCACATGGGCAAACAGCAGACTTCAGGCAAAGGACTCCACCCACTGGGCTGTGTGGCTTTTAAGCCACTCGACTGGGGTCAGGGGCTGGCCTATGACAGTGCCATCGCAGGCAGAGCCAGGGTCATTCCTCAGCACTCTCCCCTTGGGGGAGCCAGCCCATCCCTTGGCGGGAGCTGGGTTTGGGCTGCAGGCCCTGTGGATGTGGTGCCATCGAAACTCAGCCTGTACCCCAAACCCATTCACAGTTGGAGGAACACCAGCTCTTCCCTCGGCATGGCCACTAGGCCGGTCCTCACTCTAGGCTTGTAGCTGTACAGTGCCCACAAGTTCTGGCAGATCTCACACGGTGCTCTGGCACTGCCGCCTCTGACATAGGGTCCTGTATTTGGGATTGCGAGTACTTACTGACTCAGTTTATCAACATGAAATTCACATCGTGTACAATTAACCGTTTCAAAGCACACCATTCCACGGCTTTTGGTGTGTTCACAAAGACCCCAGACTTTATTGATGGTTTCCCTTCCCCCACTCCCCCCGCCCCTGACAACCACTAATTAGTTTTCTGTCTCTATAGATTTGCTTCTTTTGGATGCCTCATTTAAACAGAATCATGCAATGTGTCACCTCTTGTGTCTGGCTTCTTGCACCTTGCATGATAATCTTCATGGTTCACCCAGGTTGTAGCGTGCATTCGCACTGTGTTCTTTTCATGGCTGAGTCAAAGTCCTTTGAGTAAACATGCCACATATGATCGGTCCATTCTTCAGTTGATGAACATTTGTGTGGTTTCTGCCTTTCGGTGATTACAGATAGTGCTGGTGAACATTTGTGTACAATATTTGAGTGCTTGCTTTCAGTTCATCGGGGTCTCTATCTAGGAAAAGGATTGCAGGGAGCATGTGTTTGATAGTGAATCTTTCCCGCTAGACCATGAACCTCTCGGGAGCAGGGGAAAGAGATTTCTAACCCCAAGGCTGGCACAGTGCATGCCTGGGGTCAAACAGGAGGAGTCACAGCAAGTGGAGCAGATGTTCCCAGCCATCTTCAATCATCCAGCGGTTGTGTGTGTCATCGTCACAGTGTGGGCTCTGTCTGATAGTTGACTCACTTCATCTCATTTTCTCCTCCCTTCGCTCTGATATTTGCTCAACTGTTCATTATCTCCACCTCATCATTTTCTGGGTAAAGTAGCCCCTAGAGCTTTTTAATTGTTTTCACGTCCTTCTTCTTTTCTTCCAGAGCACTTACGATCATTGACATCGTATGTACAATACGTGGTAAATTGTATGTATCCTTTGTTCTTCCCTCCCTGTCCTCTCTGTTTTCACCCCAAGACTGAACTCCATGAAGGTGGGGATTTTTGCATCTTGTGTTCATTGTGGCACCTCGATGCCTACAACAGTGCCTGGGTGTGAAAGGTGCTCAAGTTTTTGTCAAATAAACGGATGAATGAATGCATTCCTCACTCTACTTCTCCAGTGAAACCAGGATTGTTCTCCTTTTATGAACCCAGAAACCGAGGCTCAGAAAGGTTGAGTAACTTGCCCATGGTCACAGAGGTGGCTCACAGTGGATCCAGAATTTTAAGTCAGGTCCCTCTGATTCCCTACCCTATATTCTTCCTATTTTACCCAGGGAGGGCAACAGCTGCAGGGATTTAACACCCAGACTGGGCTTGTGTTGCAGTAGAAGGGTAAGATAGCTTAAACACACAAATTTTTCTTCTTAAACATGTTTTATGTAGGCTAATTGGGCAATGGGTGTGTATTCCCTGAACAAATACATCAATCCAGAGCCCGCTGGGTGATGGAGAAGCTCTATGGGCTTGATTCTCCGTTCCGCCCCTGGCCCACAGTTATTCAGTCTCTCTGACATCAGCTTCTCGCTGTCCGAAGAACGATGATAGTACAGCTCTCAGCACCAGTACACACCCGTAAGTAGGAGATTTTGACAGATGACCACAGTGCTGAATCGCAGTCACAGTAGCGGATGTTTACAACCATCTGTTTTGTGCCAGGGGCTCTGGCAAGCGCATTACTAGAGTCATTCCATTTGATCTTCATTTTAGTCTCTGAAGAAGGTTCTGTTATTGTCCCATTTCACAGGTGACAAAACTAAGATTCAGAGAGTCTAGAGGGGTGCTCACAGTCACACAGCCGCAAAGAGAGGAAGTGAGATTTGGAGCCCCCGTTGTTTGACTGCAGAGCCAATTTTTTTTTCTTTTTTCTTTTTGGTACTGGGGATCAAACTCAGGATCTTGTGCTTGCGAGGCAGGCAGCGGAACCACTGAGCTAAATACCCGGCCCTCCGGAGCTAAACCTTTATCACTCAGCTAATGTGTGTGTGTGTACATATCTGAGAGTAGATGTAATGATGGTGACTTTGGTAGAATGTCCTGGTAAATCTAGGAGTGGGAAAAAGGAGGCTCTTGAGAAACAAGGCCTTGCTCTAGCACATATTCCTGTTGGACTGATGTAGGATGTTCTGTGGTCTTCGGCCCATGCAGGCCCAGCTCTCTGTGGCAGACGTCTGTGTGCCCTAATTGGGGAGGTGGCCGAGGTCACATCTGGGCTGCCAGTTACCATCTCTGAAATGACCTTGGGCACAGCATCAGCTCTGCACATCCGTGTCCTCACATACAAAATGGAGATCAAAATGGCCCTTTGGGTCCCAGAGTTGCAAAAATCAAGTAAGATGTAAAACAGTTCTGATAGAACTGCTATCTGATAACAGTTTTTTTCCCCTAAAGAAACATTTGCAGAAAGCCAGCCAGAAGGCTGAACAGCCAACATTAATAGAGATGATGGCTAGGCTACAGAGTAATGTTGCCTTTTTCCTTATCTGAACTTTCTAATTTTTTTCTGTAATGAATATGTAATAACAAAATGAGTTGTTTTAATTTAAAATGGGGCGGTGAGTCAGTGTTCTTGAAAGCATTTTGTAAACTGTCAGATGGGCTACAAATTAGCTCTTGTTACGGTCGTTATAGTAATTATTATTGTTATTGCCGGTTGGCTGTGAGTTGGAGTTTCTTTCTGCCCCAAATCTCCTTCCTTCTCCCACCACAGGAGCACCCACAGGATAAGTCCCCCAGTCCCCACCAGCCCTTCCTCCATTGGCACCGGCTGGCTTCCCTTTTTGTTTAATGTATGTATCAGTTGAAAATGTTCCATTAACACATAGCAATTGTGCATATTTATGGGCTTCAGCTTTTCATTTCAGTAGATGCATATAATATCGTGCACTGATCCTGATTGGATCAGTGTAGTTGGCATTCCATAACCCGAAACATTTACCGTTTCTTTGTGCTCGGATCCTTCAAAATCTTCTCTACTGGCTGTTTTGAATTATACAACTAATTGCCATTGACTGTCATTACCCTGCCTGTGTGCCGCTATTACCCCTTCCTCTCACAGTGCTTGGCATATAGTTGGCATTCTGAAAGTGTTTGTTAGATGAGTACATGAACAAGCACTTGGCAACATCCACCCAGGGCGTGAGGGCAGTGGCCAAATCAGTGGTCGAGGAAGGGATGTGCGTGAACTGGACTTCTGAAGAGTTTGTATCTCACACGGGGCTTAGGTAGTAAAATCATCACATAAGGGAAAAGTTATTCTTGAGAATCCTTTACATCACCTAGAAAATGGTGGAACTGGATATTTGGAAGCTTAAAAGGGAAGAATTAATTTTTTTGCTTTTCTGAGTATTTGTGCAAGGATGTTGAATGGAGGAGAGAGTAACCAGGGGAACACAGGGATCTTATTTTCTTTCTGGAGAGGCCCAGAGGGTGTGGTTGGCTTCTGTACATGTGCCGATGATGTAACACACACGTGATATAACGTACATACGGTATAATATGCCAGTGGTGGAACGCGCATGGCGTGCTATACCTGTGATGTAATGGGCATGTGACGGGCGTGTGTGACGTGACACCCACACGATGAAACATGCACATAATGTGGTACGCGATGCGTGTAAGGTGTGTACGGTGTAAGGTGTGTACGGTGTAAGGAGCGTGTCGTGCGGCACGCATATCACGTAAGGCGCGCAGATGTGCTGGTGCCTTGCTTTCTCCTGGCTTATCCATTGTCTCTCTGTTCTTTTGTTCCACCTCAGGAGGCAACCTTTCCAAACAAGACTGGACCATCCAGTGGCCCACTACGGAGACGGGGAAGGAGAACAATCCCGTGTGTCCACCAGAGCCCACCCCGTGGATCCGCACCCACCTCTCCCAGAGTCCCAGAGTCCAGTCCAAGTGTGTCCAGCATTACTGTCACACCAGCCCCGCGCTGGGGGCCCCTGTGTACACCCACGTGGACAGACTCACCGTGGACCCCTACCCAGGCCTGTGCCCGCCCCTGGAGTCGGGCCACCGGTCCCTGCCCCCGTCACCCCGGCAGCGGCACACAGTCCGCACCCCACCGCGCACCCCAAATATCGTCACCACGGTGACCCCGCCAGGCACGCCGCCCGTGAGGAGGAAGAACAAGCTGAAACCCCCGGGTACCCCGCCGCCCTCCTCTCGAAAGCTCATCCACTTGATCCCAGGGTTCACGGCCCTGCACCGGAGCAAATCCCACGAGTTCCAGCTGGGTCACCGCGCGGACGAGGCCCACACGCCCAAGTGAGTGCGGTTGCTGGGTGCCAGGGGCAGGAGTGTCCTGGGCCACGGGGGCTGCCTCGTGGTCCCAGGACCCCGGGTCTGCGAGTCCAGAGTAGACTCATTTCCCAACTCTAGTTGAGTGAAACGTGGCTTTTCTCTGAGGGTTCTGCAAAAAGTGAATAGCATGGAATTGCCCAGAATTGGCCCCCTTTTAAATGCTATTCGTATTTTAGAAATGGGCTGGCAAACTCAGGGACGGGGCTAAATGTGACCCAGGACCTGTGTTTGTAGTGGAGACGTATCAGGACACACACGACTTTCTTCCTTTATGAATCGCTTACAGCTGCTTCCCTGTGACCAAGGAGGAGTTGGTAAGGCGGGCAAACCAGCTGGCCCTTTCCAAAGGCCTTTGCTGACCCTGCGGCATCTAACCTAGTGCTGTCCCTAGAATAGGATGCAGTCTAGAGATTAGCTTTAAATATTCTGGTAGCCACTTAAAAATGCATAAAAAGAAACAAGTGATAACCAATTTTCGTGCATCACTTGACCCAATACATCAAAATACGGTCATTTCAACATAGAATGAGTGTAAAATATTACTGTCGAGATGTGCTTTTTCTAGGTGAGGCCTTTAAAATTTAGTGTGAATTTTTGTTCCCAAGTCTCATCTCTAATGAGGGTGGAAGGAAGCGACCCACAGTGGGAGTTGACAGGCAGGAGGCCCCCATAGCTTGCATGAGAGCCAGGCATGGGATGAAATGAGCCTCAGGAATAAAGCAAGTCAGGTGTGGTGGTGCACACCTGTGATCTCAGCTACTCAGGAGGCTGAAGCAGGAGGGCTGAGAGTTTGAGGCCAGCCTGAGGAACTTAGTGAGACCCTGTCTCAAAAAATAAAATGAAACAAAAAACAAGCAGGTGGCAGCATTATTCACAACCACCGCAAGGTGGGAATGGCTGGAGCGGATGTGGTCTCTCCGTACAACGCAGCATTGTTCAGCTTTGGAAGGGGAGTTCTGACATCAGCTACAGCAGGGTGAATCTTAGAAAAAGGGTGCTAAGTGAAAGGAGCCAGACACAAAAGAACAAATAGTGTGTAATTCCACAGATATGAGGTGCCCAGAGTAGTCAAATCTATACTGAGAGAAAGCATAGAGGTGGTTGCTAGGGGCCAAGGGAGAGGGAGTTATTATTTAACGCATACAGATTTCAATTGGGATGCTAAGAAAGCTCTGAGGACAGATTGTGGAAATAGTTGTGAAATAATGCAGATGTACTTAATGCCCCTGATGTATCACTTAAGTATGGTCATAATCATAAATTTTATGTTATGCATATTTTACTACAATTTTTAATCAAAGAGTCGAGCAGGATTCTCTAAGCTCAGCATGGGCAATCTTTCTGTTAAAGGGCAGGTAGTAAATATTTTTGGCTTTTCAGGCCACAATCTCTGTCGCAGTTTTTCAGCCTTGCTCTATAGAACAAACGAAGCCACAGGCACTAGGCACAAAAATGAGTGTGGGTATGTTGCAATAAAACTTTATTTATAAAAACAAGTGCCTGGCTGGATTTGGCTGTAGTTTATCAGAAGCCCTGATCTAGAGAGTGATTCTCCCTTCGAAGGCACTAGGAAGAAGATGTGATTTTATGAGTGTCATTCAAGCCGCTGTGGGTAACCTGACTTGGTGACGTACATTTGGGACCTCAGGTTTAAGGAGGGGACAAATACTTCTCTGATGGGATGAGTTTGATTTTCATGGTTCCCACAGAGATGGGGAACCCATGGGTCCTCAAAGTGAGAAGAGTGGGGAGACTCCCAGGAAGGCTAGGGGTGCAAACTCCTGATGTGGAAGGGACGTAGAAGCATTTGGCTTATATATTTGCCAAATATTATGTGTCCTCCCTTCACCCAGAGCACACTACTAAGAGAGATGGAAGATGATTTGCAAGCAGGCTCTATGGACACCATCTTTTATTCTAGAAGTAGGGGCCCAGTAAGGCAGACTGCTCTTCCGCTTTTAAATGCTGGCCTTTCCCCAGACTCCTGAGGAGTTGACTGCAGATAGCACCAGATCATTCACTGGGTTCGGAGGCATCATGTTGTGCCCACCAGGGCTCTTCTGTGTGGGGTAGTAAGCTTAGCACCTCCCCCAGGAGGCAGCTTCTGGTCCCACATGGAAGATGCCAAGATTCGTGACAAGGGAGCAGCGGAGGAGAGGAGTAGAGTGGTCAGTATGGTGATGTGGACGATGCCATCTCAGTTCAGAGGGACATAAGGAAAAACCAAGGGAGTCTCAGCTGTAGATCAGTGGTAGAATGCTCAGCTAGGATGCGCAAGGCCCTAGCACTGTATTAAAAAGAATTAAGACAGTGATAATAGTACCTTTTCTTGTCATAGGATATGAATGAGGTAAAATGTAATAAATGGAATCTTTTTAAATGCAGAGGAGCTCAGTATTAAAAAGGAATTTCATTATGATTTTTTTGAAAATCCTTTTTAAAGGTAATTTTAAACTACAGTTTTAATTACAGAAACAATTCCCAGGTACATCTTCATTTTGAAAATACAAGCAATATAAAATGCAATGAAAGGCAAAATTCTGCCTTTGCCTTGCTAGAGAGAGCTACTATACTTTTTTATACTAGCACTTTGCTGTTAATCCTTGCACACATCTGTTTTTGTTTGTGTGCCTGTGCATAACATATCTAGTTCCTGATCTTCATAAATGGTACACTATCCCTTTACTAATGTGACTTTGTTGGTCCTGCATTAATGTGACTATTCCATTTATGACCTCACAATATACTCCTCTTGCAAATCTCCTGTTTGCTCCAGTGCACATCTAGGACATTGTTGGTGCGTGTCTCTGTTTTCAGACCTCTGTAAAGCCCTTGTCTAGCAAGGGCCAGGCCCTGGCTTCCATCCCCAGAACCCATTTTGTGTGAACCCAGTGTTGCCTCTGCCCTTCTGGGGCAGAGCGTCAAAACCTTCAGCTGGCCTGCAAGCAGAGAGAACCAGCCTGCAGAAAAGCGAGGAGTGTGTGTTTATAGCTGCACTTGAACCTCTCTTCGTTCCGGCTAATTCAGACTTCTTGCATGGCCAAGCCTGTATCATTTGTAATTTAGACGAGAATGGGCTTGGCTGAACAGATTCATTATGTAAATAAGATTTCAGGAGGGATCCTTTTGTCTATTTTAGAAAACTAATTATCTCCAAGCGCTTAAACCCACTGGCGCACACCTACAGATCATTGTGCTAATTATTATAAGGAATTCTAATGTATTTATAAGGGCAAGAGGAGAATGACTAGTTTGTGATGACAAATATTCATTAAGACAGAAAGGGGTCTTCCACTGTGCTTGACTGGTGTTTCCTTTCAGGTCCCACTGAGCATTCAGACACACATGTCATCAGAGTGACGCGGGAGGACACGGGTGACACCTGTGTCTCTTCTGTGGATCCCCAGGGGCCATTTTTCTGTGCCTCCCACTTCCAAGTGGCAATTCAGGCATAAAGTGATGAGCCTCACATGCAGCAGGTATGGGCACCCCTCTGGCTTAGAGGACATCAGCTCTCTTAATGACATATCAGTGTCGCTCCCTGGGCCTTTGCACGGAGGCCGTTATAGCAGTCATGTCACTCAGGCACTCCCAAAGCTGTGGATTCCGCATCAAGGTATTTATTTCAGGTTCAGGTTGAGAATTCCCAGTCCAAATGAAGTCTCCCAACCAAATAAGATGCCACTGTGAGCCACATGGCCCACTAAAACAGTGGCATTTCCTGTCTATCAGGTATGTAGAACATCGGAGCTAGAGAGTTAGCTCAAGGTGAAATTCTCATGCAGAAGAAGTGAATATGTGTTCACCCTTTACTTGAGGTTTCACCTTAAAAATTTTGTCATGTGGGCTTGTTGCTAATTCACACTGAATCAGTTTCTCTGTCTCTCTCTGCTCAAACCCAGGGCCTCGCACATGCTAGGCAAGGTTCTATCACTGAATTTTGAATTTTGAATTTTGAATAGGCATTGTCTTTGACAAAGTTTTCTGTAATTTGCAGTTGTGTGATATATATATAT